GCTTTTGATGATGTTCATCTTTTCCTGTTTAGCTATTTATCATTTGTTGGCCATTTGTATTCCTTCTGTGTAGTCAAATGTTCCGCAGATTTAAAAAAAAATGTTCTTTTTGTTATTGAATGGTGGAGTATCTTTACATATTCCGGATACAGATTCTTCATTAGATACGTTAATTGTAAATATAGTCTCTAACTCATGGCTTACCTGTTTACTTTCGTATCTTTTGATGAGAACATACTTTTGTTATTGAATTTATCAATTAAAGTTTCATTGATAGAGAATTTTGCTCTGAAATTTTTATCTACTGTAAGGTTGTGAAACAATTTCCCATCAATGATCAATGCTTTATAATGAGCATATGATTTGTGGAAGGTTTTGAGCAGTGTATGGTTTAGGATACATGAAGTTAAGTTTATTTTTTCTCACATGAATAGCTTTTTTTTAAAGACTGATTTGGGGGCCCGGCACGGTGGCACAGTGGTTAAGGTCCTCGCCTTGCACGCCTCGGATCCCATATGGGCGCCGGTTCTAATCCCGGCAGCCCCTCTTCCCATCCAGCTCCTTGCTTGTGGCCTGGGAAAGCAGTCAAGGACGGCCCAAAGCTTTGGGACCCTGCACCCGCGTGGGAGACCCGGAAGAGGCTCCTGGCTTCAGATCGGCGTAGCACTGGCCGTTGCACTCACTTGGGGAGTGAATCATCGGATGGAAGATCTTCCTCTCTGTCTCTCCTCTCTGTATATCTGCCTTTCCAATAAAATAAATCTTCATTTATTTATTTAATGAGTGATTTGGAAGATACAGTTATAAACAGGTAGAGAGTAAAGAAGGCTCAGATCTCTGACATGGCTGGCAGGACCCAAGCACTTGGGCCATCTTACATTCCCTTTCTGGGCACATTGATATGGGGCTGGCTTGCACGTGCTAAGTGGAGCTGGTAGATAGGAACTGGTGCTCATCTCTGTGCTCGTTTTGAAGGTGGCGGCTTCACATGTTGCACCACAGGCCTGGTTCCAGCTAGCCTGTATTCTAGCACTATCTGCGGGTGAAGACTTTCCTGTCATTTAGTTTTTGTGATTGCTGGACTGTAGGGTGAGACCACCAAACTGTCTCCTCCAGTGTCTGTACTGGTTTGGGTTCCCATTAATCACGAATGCGTTCTTGTGGCTCCACAACTTCATTTGTGTCCAGTTGCTTTAGTGTTGTGGATTTTGACTATTCTGATGGAGCGTTGCGGTGCTTGGATTACATTTGCATTTCCCGAATGCCAAATAATGAAAAGCTTCTTGTACTAGACTCACCTGGCACCTGAGTATCAATGTACATTTGCTCTACTTTCCAACAGTTGCACTTCTGGGTGTATGCACGAAAGAAGGAAAGCAGGATTGGAATAGGTGCTTGTGCACTCAGGCTCACACCAGCATTATTTTTTTTTGCAGGGTTAATTCAGAATTATTTATGTACATATGTAAAGTATAAATTCAGTAGTGGTGATCAAAAAAATTGTTTAGTGTTAGTTATTTGCTCTTCATTTTGTCCTGTTTTCCTTTTTTCTCTGAGTGTATAATGATTTCTCATTATTTGTGAATTTTTTTCTTCAAAAGATGGCATTTTTGTTATTATTTCATTTTTATGATACAGTTTTGTAGGCTCTGGGATTCCCCCAACCCCTCCCCATGCCCTACCCCTATGTTGGATTCCTCCACCTTGCTGCAGTAGTATAGTTCATAACCAGTCATGATTCCTTCATTGCGAGCTTGTACCATGCATAGAGTCCAGCTATTATCCAGATAAATTCAACAGCTTTCTTGGGAGACCATCCCTGGTCTGAAAGTAGAGCTGGCCGAATATCATCCCCTCCAATGAAAAGTCATAACATAACATCAACAACAATTTACAGCGTCATGGAGTTAATTGACATGGTATTGAGTGACCCATATGTTAGAAAATGCAAATTTTTAACCACATCCTGTGACTACTTCATTGACATTTCAATTTTAGTTTATATACAACTGGCTGCTATACACTTTAAAATGGTTATAGGGTGCTATTCAGCTGTCTCATGTCTATTTTCATTTTTGTATTTAGCAGCTTATAGTATTGAAGCATGATTTTTACTGAACTTGGCAAATTTTAGGATAATTGAAGCAGGTTTATAACTCTAAACAAGGCATATGTTAACAATTGAGGCACAGAACAGTTTTAGTAGGGGTGTGCAGAGTGCTTCAATACTTTAGAGAGGAGTAACTAATCTTTGTGTTCTACGTAGTAAGGTATATGTGAGTCCAAGCTGAGTGTTTCCTGTCTGTTCTAAACTTTCCTTACTGGTCTCTATGTAATCTAATTTTTTTTTTTTGGTAGTCATTGCAAGAGAGGGTGGGATCCAAAGTTGGAACTAAATAAAAAAAAAAAAAAAGAGGAGAAAGCTCCTCTCCTGAGTCCTGAAGGAAGTTTACTGTTCCTCTGAGGACCGCTTAGGGCTCCTGGCTGTTGTTCCGATGACATTAGATCCTGTGAGGAAGGATCTGGGCTTCTTCCAATCCATGTGGGAGATCCGATAGGGAATGGATAACTTCAAAGTGCTTGGCCTACAAGGGCACTCCAGTTCCCTGTGGTCTCCTTGGCATTTGGGATATAGCCCTTGGTTCCCATAGTGATAGTCCTAGGTGAGGATCTGGGAGTCTCCAGGATTGGGATACATGCCTCCTCCTGTCCTCCTGCTCCACTCTGGGGTCCCCTCCTGCTCTGTGCACATGACCTCCTATTAAGAGGCTGTCAGGATCGCTCTTGGAACCCACTGTATGTCTTTATAGTTTTTGCTAATATCTGATTCAAGTCTGCTGTCTAAGTTACCTGTTACAATCTTGATAGATTATACTTAACATCTTTCTCACACACCCTAAGAAGGTGGAAAATTTCTCTGCTCCCCCGACCCATTATGGAATAACATAGAGTATTAAAAGCATATTGTGTTTTTCAGTTCTTTGATGTAGATCCTAAGCAGTCTGTCTCTCATTAATTGTTGGTTCATTGGTTACATCACAATATCTTATTGCATGTGATACAGGCTGTTTAAGGTTGTAATAATGTTACAATTTATAGGTACTATTTTTAGGATTGACATCATTTCATCTTAAATTAAGGCAAACGTGGTATCTATCCTTTTGGGATTGGTTCATTTCCCTTAGCATAATAGTTTCCAGTTGGGCCCATTTGGCTACAAAGAACTGCATTTTGTTTGTTTTAATAGCTGAGTAGTAGTCCGTGGAGTAGATGAGCCATAGCTTTCTTATCCCATCTTCTGTTGATGGGCATTTTGGTTGCTTCCAAGCTTTTGCAATTATTGATTGTGCTGCTATGAACATAGGGGTGCGTGTTGGTTTGTCGTGAAACAGGTGTTTTGGATATATTCTAATAGTGCTATTGCTAGATCATATGGTATGCAGATTCTCAGTTGTTTGAGTTTTCTCCATACTGATTAACATAGAGGCTGTACCAACCTGCAGCCCTACCAACAGTGGAGTAGTCCCTTTTCTTCCCATCCTCACTAGCAAGTGTTGTTGGGTGTTTTTTGTATGTGAGCCATTCTTGCAGGCATTAGGTGGTACCTCATTGAAGTATTAATTTGGATTTCCCTTATTGCCAGGGAGCTTGAGCATTTTTTCATATGTTTGTTTGCCATTTGGGTTTGTTCCTTTGTAAAATGTCTGCCCATTTCCCGTGCCCATTTCTTTAGTGGTTTGTTTTGTTTTGTTTTGGTTGTTCTGAAGATTGGCCCCCTATCACCTATGTAGTGTGCAAAGATCTTCTCCCATTCTGTGGGTTGCTTTTTTACTTTGTTGATTGTTTCCTTTGTTGTACAGAAGCTTCTTAGTTTGATGTAGTCCCATTTGTGTATTTTGGTCTTGATTGCTAGTGCTTTTTTTTTTTTTTTTAAGTCAGGGCCTATACCTAAATCTTGCAGGGTATTTCCAACATTTTCTTCCCAAAGTTTGAAGGTTTCTGGTGTAGGTTTAAGTCTTTAATCCATCTAGGTTTGATCTTATTGTATGGTGAAAGAGGTGGGTCTAACTTCTTGTGTCTGCAGGCTATCATCCAGTTGTCCCAACAGCATTTATTGATAATACCGTCCCATTTGCATGGATTGTCTTCTGTTTTTCGGTCAAAGATTATTTGGCTGTATCTGTGTGGTTTCCCTTCTGCTGCTTCAGTTCTGCTCCATTGATCTTCCTCTCTTTGTGCCAGTACCAGGCTGTTTTGATAACCACTACCCTATAGTATGTGCAGAGGTCTGGAATTGTGATCCTTCCTGTTAACTTCCAATTCTTCAGGATACACAGCAGCATTATTAAGGATAGCCAAAAGGTGGAAGCTACCCAAGTGACCCATATTATTGAAATGAATAACTAAAATGCTGTGCATACTCACATGTAATGGAGTATTTCTTCAGTTTATTTTATTTCTGATGATGTTTACATAGTTGATCAGTGTGGGAAGGGTCAAGGATTAGGGGAAAGTGGTTGAGACCATTGTTTTCAAGTGTTCCTTTTCTTCTCCTGTATCCTTTAGTTTTTAAAGAGTGAAATTGTGACTGCAGAGTGGATGAACCTTGAATAAACTGCTGAGGTCAATCCTGTATGGTTGATGTAATATGCAGGAGAGTATAATCAGTAAATAGAATGGCAGGGTGCTTTCCAGGGACTGGGCAGAGGGAAAGTGTGAGTTAGTGTACATGGGTACAGAGCTTCAGTTATGCAAGATCAGGAAGGTGTTCTCAGTACAATTGGTTGTGATGGTTGCACAGAAGTGTAAATGAATGTAATGCCATTGAACTATACCTGTAAAGATGGTTAACCTGGTAAATGTTACGTGGTATATGTCTTATCAAGTCTAAAAATGAAAACACACCAATCCCTATAATCATGCCATTAGAACTGGAGGTAACAGGAATGTGGCTGTTGTCAGTGGCAGTGGGTAACCTCTGTATTCCTGGTGTCTTTCAGGCCTGGCGTTGCCCTGACCTTGCAGGCATTTTCAGAAGAGGAGAGGAAGCTGTGGTTGGAAGCTCTGGGTGGAAAAGAAGCTGTAAGAACAATCAATGGTGGAACTTAATTTCATGTCTGTCAGAGTCAATGTGTGCTGTTTTTGTTATGTTTTGCTTTTTGGTATTTGAGAAAAGCTTCCTGCTGCAATTGGCATTAGAATCCATGTGAAAGCACTCAGCATTGTTGTAATTTGGTTTGGGGAGCAGCAGTACACACAAGACGGGTATGCCATTAGATTTTGTCTGGTTTCTCTTGACTGCCACTCTGATTGGCTTTGCATGAGGAAGTCGTCTAAAACCTTCATGTCTTCTCTCATCCCTGATAGTGCTTTGGGTGGTGAGGACAACAGTTGCTGGCTGTGCACTTGATCTCAATGGAGACTGTCCTGCACGTGGTTGCTGTCATTATCTCACTAGCTTTAATGATTTATGGTTTGGTCTCATGCTTTACGGTCTGTCAGGTTATTCAGTCTTGGTGCACGGGCTTCTGGCTCAGTCCGCTTTAAGGAATACATTGAAGGTGGTGATGGGGATTGGGAGACGGTGGCATTCATTCTGTTTGCCGCTTTATTCAAGTGCTACTTTCATTTCAGTAGACTTATAGCCTCCGGGAGTTGAGAGTTTGGCAGCTTCTGTGTGGGGTTGGAGATTTAGTGAGGATAATGATAGAAACCACCATAGAACCAATTTAAATAAAATCTGCTTAAAGTATTATGAATCAGAGTGAAGTAGCAGGGCAGGTACCTGGGGAACTTCTCTGGAAAGAATGAGCTGTTTTAGCAGGGCTGAAGGAGAATGAGAAGTGGAAGAGGAATCACGTGCAGTAAGAGGAGAGAGGCGTCAGAACGGAGCTGTGAAGTGCACAGGCTAACTTTAGCTGATGCTAATGGAGAGCACCCTGGTGAGGGTGTAGGAAGTGGCAATAACCCAACTTGTCCACAGTGTGTGTGGCAGCATTTGACAGGTGAAAACCTGAATGAATAGTTTTGAAAAACTGATGTGCTATAGGAGAAAGCATCACCCGAGCAAATAAAGCAGTGGTGGTTTTTGAGTCATCTTGCCTGACCTGAGCTGCAAGTAGATGCAATAGGGTGATTCCTGTTGATTTTTAGTTTATCGTTACTATTTTTTAGCTGGGAGTTAAGACTCCTTACACATGTTGATGATTACTGAGATCCAAAATGGGTTCTCCCAGTCCTTACTGAGTGAAAAGTACATACTTCACCTAGGAGGTATTGAGCTTCAAGAGGCACTTTGAGAAGTAAGTTTGTGTAATAGAAAGACCATGGGACTTAGACACAGAGAAGTACGGCTGTTGTCAGTGACAGTGCAGCCTTGATCATGTGTAGGACCTCTCCATTAGAGCAATGAACCTGGTGAAGAGATTCGATATGTCCACACAGGCAGGTTTGCAGAGGGGTTGTTTGGGCACACTTAAGGTGTTGCAGTGTTGTAGTTGTGTGGACATTGCAGATATTGGGTTAGTAGTTTGGATTCCTGGAGTCTACTCGGAGCAACCATTTGGCTGCTCCTGCCAGAGGCTATTGGTGTCTTCAGCAAACACCAGGATGTAGGGCTAATGGAGGGAAATGAGCTGTTTTCAGTAAGAATTCAGCATCCTTCAAAAGTAGGTGCCTGAGCCTTTTTGCTTTCTGTAAACTCTCCTTAGTGTGTTCTGTAGGGACTGTGGTCTTTTCATCATTGTCTTACGGGTGGGGGTGGGGTCATTTCCTCAGAGTGTGAAAGTGGCCTCTCACATGCTCTGTGTTGTCCATCTTTGCATCAAGCCCGTGGTGGTGTGTAGGAACAGAGAACTATCAAACAGTACACTAACTTCTGACCCCAGAGGTATGGATACTGTCCTCTAGCCAGACTCTGGATGTCCTACAATCCAGGTCAGTCTATTTCTGACCAGATTCCCCTAGAGTTGGCATCAGATCCTGCAAGGGGAGGGCCCAGTTGTATAGGCCTGCCCCTGTTTTAGATGCTGGTTACAAGGCTGGGCCTCCCACACCTCACAGATTGGCCATTAATCAGGAAATCCCATAGACCTTCACTGTGCGCTTGTGAGAAATATCTGCAGAACTCAGGGGGGAAACACTGGGCTTAATTTCACAGTGAGTCATGAAGGATCCAATTTGAAACAGCCAGATGGAAGAGACGTGAGGGGACAAAGTGTGACATGAGGATTGGGTGGGCTCATACAGCTTCCTTCTATGGAACGCCACCTTCCTAGCATCCTCATGTGTGCGCCATCCCAGAAGCTCACTGTGAAAGGATTTTTCCGTTAGAGCTCAGTCTCCAGCTCACACTCTAAGGGTGAGCCTTGAAGCCCTCATCATCTAATCATTTGTTCCTTTTGGTATTTAACCCCACCCCGAGGCTATCTCATGATCTTATGCTAAGTCACCTTATGGCATAACTCAGGTGTGACCAAAAGGAACTTGAATGACCCAGTAACTTCCCAGGGTTTGGGTACTTCATTCCCAGAGGCAGGGACTAAATATGCCTCCCATAGCACATAATCCAATGTCAAATTCATAAAGATGTATTTTAATGCTTGATCCTAATTGTGTCCACTGGAATCATCTTCGCTGATTTGTTAAAAAGTAATCATCCTTTTTCTTTTACTAGCTGTTCCACAGTTTTAATAGAGCTGTCGTCCCAAGACCAGAAGGAAGTAAGTACTGATTTATCAAAACAGGCATTACTCTGTTTTCTGTGCATTGGTTTGTGTTGGACCCAGGCGGACCGCTTGGGCAGGCGCCTTCTCTTTGCTAGTCCTCCTGGAGGTGTGTTCTGTCTTAGCCACTGAGTACTGTCTTAAAGTCTCCAGGATTGCCAGGGCCCCCACTGATTCTTAACAGTTTGGACCTTTTCCAGGTCTTTCCCTACAAGAACCAAAACACTTTTTCTATGGCTTGCTTTGCTGTTTATTTTTAAACCACAAATGATTGCAGGTACTCAACGTCCAACCTGCTTCCATGGCAGAGTTGCAGCCACACATGGTCTGGGGCTTGGTTCCCCTGCCCGTGATACTTCTACCCCGGAAGTCATGGGATGTAGGCTGGTCAAGCAGCACGTCGTTGTGCCTTGGAAATTGACTAATAACGCTGAGCATTCTCTCAAGGATCTTCTCATGACACTGTAGATCCTTGAGGCAAAAAATATACTATTAGCTTTGTATTCTTCAGTTTTACTATTTTGAAATAAAAATCTGATGGCATTTTTCTGGTTGCTTCACAGATTGCCTTTTCATGCATGGAGAAATTGAGGCTATGGCTGTCAAGTAGCAAGTTTGGAAACACTGTGAAGTAACACATGATTTCATAATGATCATAGCTACTTGACCCACTGCATGAATAAAAGACAGTGTCTGCCTCAGCTAAGCATTAGACCTTGGCAGAGCATTGAAGGAGGATGGAAAATTCACTGAAATTCCACTTTTGTAAACATTCATTTATTTGGCAGGGACACACACACACACGCACACACACACACTCCACATGGAGTTTTCCATCTGCTGGCTCATTTTCCGAATGATTGCCTGGGGCTGGATCAAGTTGAAGACAGGATCCTGGAACTCCATTCAAGCCTACCATATGATGGGAGGGCTTCGGCCGAGCAATAGAGCCATAGAGCCTTCCCAGGTGCATTAGCAGGCAGCTGGGTAGGAAGTGGGACAGCCGCAACTCTAACCAAGCGTGAAGCACCTTCTTAACTTTCTCCTTTCTGTGCTTGGTGCCTCTGCTGTCTGTCTTTATCATTCCTCTGCTTTTCCTCCCTCTCCACTTCCAATCTTCTCCATGTGTCTTTACCCTTTCTGATATAGCAGAAATTAAAGCGTGCCTTTCTGGGAGAAAAATATGCATTTTATGAAGTTATTAAAATACTGTGTATATGTATTCATAGACTGTAAAGCTTTGCTCAGTTCACAGTAAATTTTCTTCCAGCTGAGCATTGGGAGTTCAGTACAAAGTTTCTGTTTCTGAGTCCTTGCCATTGCCCCTTTGAGAGCCAGGAATAAGTGCTGCTGTCTGGGTTCTGAATACGATGTTGAAGGGTCCTGCTCTTCTTGGTTCTGTTTTGGAAGCAAGAGTTGTCTTTCATTGAGATAAACAAGCACCCAGCCAATCATAGGGAAGTCTGTATATTAAAAAAATACAAAATTATGTTTTCTAAATTTTCTGTTTTGCCACATGATCATCTACTTTAAATTTTTGATGAAAATAATAAAATGTTATTTTTGAAACTTGGAGCATGGTGATGTACAATGTCAATGTTTCATTTCATGCTCTTTGTCCAAATAAGAATTTTTAGAATTTTTTTAAATCTCACATCTCACCCTAACTTTAAAAAAAGTTGAATTCTTAGATTCCCAAGTCATTTGAGAACCTTCATTTATATGTATAGTTCTCCTCAACTGAGTTGTGGTTGGCATTTTTAGCAAAATGTGCTGTTATTATATAGCATCCTTAAATTTTTATCACAGTCTTTGAGGTTATTTTAAATAAGCTGTAGTTATTATTTTTGAGATGCATATTTGCTTAAAAACTAATGATAGCAGAGGGCCTGCTGTTGCAGAAATGCTGTTCTATTAAATTTGAGAGCAGGTATTTGGCCTAGCAGTTGCATCATACTCCTGGATCGGAATACCTGGGTTCCATTCCCAGCTCCAGCTCCCGACTCTGGCTTCCTTCCAGTGTAGACCCTGGGAGACACTGGCGAGGATTCCAGGTGGCAGTTCCTACCACTCGTGTGTGAGGTTTTCTTGGCATTTCCATACGGGCCCCACAGTGGCCTGTTGGGAGTTAACCAGTGGATAGGAATGTGTCACTTCACCTCTCTCCGTTTCTCTGTAAAATAAATAAAATTTGAAATTTTGTGAATTCTGTATCGTTATCACTTACATGAGGATAAGTCATGTTTAGCTTTTAAAACTGAAACAAAAATTAGATTTAAATAACTTTCCTCCTCTTTTCCATGTGGAGGAGAGATGTTAAGAATTGTGTCCTGAAAACTGTCGAACTCTTTCTTTTAGGTGCACAGTTGGATAAAATGGGATTCACGATTCTCAAAAAGTGCATCAGTGCAGTTGAAGCTCGAGGTAACGTGGTTATCTGAATCTTTTTATTCGTGAAAAGCTATAGGTATGTAAAGTCTCAGTCATTTAAAATACACATTGCTGGTGTAAGTGTGGGCAAAATGTGTTAGCACACATGCTCATTCTGCTAACCAAGGACAGTGGGCTATTTGTTAATGTACATTTTTCTCCCTTCTATTAAAATATGAAATCAAGATTATGGAAATTGTGTTCGCTTGCTAGTTCAGTCATAACAAAATGCCACAGACTGTGGCTTTGAACAGTCCAATCTATCTTCTCACCACGGCGGAGGCTGAAGGCCCCATGTGCAAGGTCTTGGCAGTGTCAGTTTCTTCTGGGGCTTTTCTCCTTGCAGAGGGGAGTCTTCTGTGTCCTCCTGTGGCCTTTGCTCTGTGTAGCTAAACCTCTGTGTCTTATGAAGACAAAAGTTCTAACTTAAACATCCCATTTGAAGACTGTCTCCAAAAGCAGTCCCCTTCTGAAGTGAGGTACATAGAGCTTCGGACTGTGAGTGCGGGGGTAGGCTGGCGGTGTGATAGTTCAGCTCATGAGAGGAATCAGCCGTATTGGACAACTAGCCACGTTCTCCCTTTCCCGTTGTCTTGTGCATGCCCTTGAAAAACAAATCAACTTTATTGAAGTATGGTTTGCGTGGAGCAGCTTTTGTTGATTTTTAACTGTGCAATTTGTCAAATCTTGAACAATGTATACAGTTGTGTAGCAGCAGCTGTGGTTGTAGATTTTTCTATGCCTGCCTCCGATTCCTTCCTGCTGCTCTGAGTCATTCCTTACCTTACTGGCCCTGGGCATCCACTGAGCTGCTTTTCCTCACTCTGGTTCGGCTTTGCTGTTTTTCAAGCGTTGTCTACAGGTGGAAACATGCAGCAGATAGCCTGTGGACTCTGGCTCTGTTTTGTGTAGTGTTTCTGACATTAATCTAGTTGAATGTATCCTTAGCTCATTTCATTTTGTCACAGGTGGTATTCCATCCTATGGATATACCATTATTTGCTTATCTATTTACCTATTTTAAGTACTTGGATTGATTCCATTTTGAATTTAAGGCAAGTAATTCCTCTGCTGGCCCAAAGCCCAAAGGAATTTTTCTTCGTCCCTAAGAAAAAGTCCCGTGGACTTGGATAAACCACACGTTGAACATTGTAGAATAGACAGTTGCATGTTTTCTCTTTGTTTAGAGACTCAGGGAGGTAGGATAAATTGAATATATAATTCACTCTCAAGTTGTGTATGTTCCAGAGTTACGTTGGATGACTTAGTGAGATGAAACCTGGCATTCACATTATCCATCAATACAAGGTCTTTATTACAGAGCCAGGATTGGCACCTGTGAATCCAGAGTGCTGGACAACAGATGAATATGAGCTCTTTTATGATTTGGGGATTTGCCCATCAGTGATAACAGCGCAAGCTTCTGAAAGCCTTTTCTCCCACACTCACTCACAGAGGCAATTCAGACTGACAGATTTTCATTCATTTCAAGCTGCACGGAAGTTGAGCTGACAAATTTGTTCATTTTCCTAGTGCTTGAAAAAAAAATTTAGTATCTCTCACTCACCACTCATGTTTTTCATTTGAAGTCCTTAAGTTAGAACCTTAATCATATCACTGGCATGCTTATCAGTTTTGATAAATGTGATTCTTTTTTCCTAAGGATATGTTTTATTCATACCTTTGCTTTTCCCTGAACAGCTAAAGATGTAACCAGAAGGCTTTCTGATTGGCATGTGTAGCTTTGTAGAGCATTATGTACATTGAGTGGATTGAGCATATTGGCATCTGTATGTGTCAAATGTGTTATCAATATATGAATTATTAAATACCCATCAAGATACTTGTTTGTGAAGCAGAAACAGACGAGGAGAGCTCTCATTTACTGGTTGACTGTCCAGATGTTCTGAGCAGCCTCCAGGTGGGGGCTCCACCCGGATGTGAGCAGGAACTTAGCTATAGGAGTCATCGCCTGTGCCTCGCAGCATCTGCCTCAGCAAGAAGCTGGAGTCAGGAACCTGAGCTGGGTGTGCAAAGCAGTCGCACCAATCTGGGACACTGGTGTCTGAACCAGTTAGCTCGACAACCCATCCCAGTGACTGACTAACTTCCACAGGATAAATGAATGCACATAGTTTGCTTTTTTCCCATTTAATAACACCCACAGATATTTGTTTTCATTTATAAATCAGAGTCTTTCATTATTAAAACTTGTTGCTTTCAATGGAGTACAGACTAAGAATAGAATGAGCAGTCAGATCCTATTGTTAATAATGATGAGGAATATTGTGAAATATCTTTTAGCCTACATTTGTGGGTTCCTTCTGAGCATGTTGCTCTTTTTTTTTTTTTAATTTTTTAGACTATTTTTATTTATTTGAAAGGCAGAGTTGCAGAGAAGAAGTGATGGAGACATCTTTCATCTGCTGAGTTACTCTCTAAATGGCAACTGCCAGACCAGGTCAAAGCCAGGAGTTGAAAATTCAGTATGTGTCTGTCACTGGGTTGCCAGGGTCCAACCCCTGTAGCCATCTTGTGCTGCTTTCCCAAGTGCATTGTGGGAACTGGATTAGAAACCAGCAGCTAGGACAGGAATCAGTGCTCAGATGGGATGCCAGGACCATAGGTGGTAGTTTAACTTGCTATGTGTAATGCCTTTGCAATAGAAGGGCAGGGACAGTGAGGAGGAAGAGAGAAAGAAAGCTGACATTCACTGGTTCCCTTACTAAATTCCTGTCACTGTCAGTGCTGGGCAAAGTTTGAAGTGAGGAGGCCAGTGACCCTAGAAATGGCATCACACCTGCTTTCCCCAGCCCAGGGTTTGCATTAGCAGGAAGTTGCACTGGGACTCCTAGCAGGTGCTCCAAGATGGTATGTGGACATCTCAAGTGATGACTTAGAATATTGCTCTAAATGGTTTTCTCAAACCAGTGTTTCTGTGTATTCAGCTCTTTGATACAAGTATTATGTCACACACACATTTTTTAAGATCAGGATAAAGCCAGTTTATATTCCTCCATTGAGAACACTCCAAATTTCCTTGACTTAAAACATAAGGCTTAAATGGGAACTTAAAAAATTTACGGAAAGGTAGAATTCAATGGTATGGTTATTTTGGTGCTGAAAGAAAAGGAACCCACCATTCAGGAGGAGGGTACGTGGAGGGGTTGGGGGAATCCAGAGCCTACAAAAACCCTTACATATGTGAGTTCTAGAAGAAGTTTACGGAAAAATGTAGATTGTGAAAAAATGTGCTTGAATGTGCCTCAAAATCCCTTGTTTTAAAATTCTATTTCTCTAGAAACTCTGAAGCTCCTATGTGCTTTCTCCCCATTAAACATTGGTGGAGCATTCTGCTCATAACTTTGATAACTGGGTTTCTGCAGCAGCTAGTCAGGTTATGTGTTCCTGATTGCTTGACCAGAGGGATATTGCTCTGGAAGGCTTTGGACTAGCAGATAAATGCACTTGCCAGGCAGTGAGTGAATCACACTCTCTCACAATTAATTGGCGGTCTATAGCCACATGGCTTCACTTGCCTCAAATGACTACAGGAAACACATCCCCGCCTACCTGGAGTCTGCAAAGCAGAGAGCTGGAATTAGTGAATCACATACACTTGCCGTGGGAATGCCTTAGGACCTGGAAGCATTAAGTGAGATCTAATAATTATTTCTATCACTGTTTGCAGCATTTTAAACATGCCTATCATTATCCGAAAGCTCTTATTGAAGTTAGTTTGGTGAAAGTGTTTTGTTTACTTTCTAACTTCTTTAACAAAGATTTTGCCATTTTTATTGCTAACATTATTCCTGATATCACTGAAATATTTGTAAAGCTTCAGGCAGATTCTACTACTTACTGTAGTCCTCAATACCTCAGAAAACAGCAATATATTAACATGTCTTAGATAACATAAATTATATATGACACATTCTTGATAATGTACAGAGTATAGATATTGATGTATCTTGGCCTGAGTGGGATTATTTAGTAAGATAAGAACAAACCTGGTTTTGGTACAGTTTTAGAATCAATCAATCAATCAGTCATATTCTGTCATTTCCAGAGTTGTCTTTGCTCATATAGTTACAGTATGGTGGGAGTCAGAGCCATTGATCTTTTATCCGTGATCAAATACTTGTTATCCATGATCAGTTCTCCACCATTGGTAATTAATTGTCTATATACACTGGCTTAGAGGTGACGGAGGGGAGAGAAAGACAAAGGGGCTGTTAGCTCAGGGTAAGGGTTTTGTTACTCACAGTAGAGAGCCTGATGGACTGTTCCTTGGCAGGCAATGGATTGGGACCACTTCCACATGATCGGGTAAGCACATGAGGGAAATGAGCACCAAGGGAATGCAAAACTTGAATACCTCTTAGACGCGGGGGATGGGAGAAGCAGCAACTCCTTGTGTGTGTGTTCCAGTGGTGTGTACGCATCATGGCGGGTGATGACGTTTTGCAGACAAGGTGTGAGGGTAATTTGGCATTCCACACATTCTTCAATGGGAGTGTCAGCTTGACTTTGGCAAGCTGCTGGAGTCACTTCTGTTCTGCCCAACCTAGCCAAGCTGAAGGAGTTCTTAAGGCAGTTGTTTCCAAACTTTGTTACACACTGGAATCACCTACAATCTTAACCTGGATTTGACTGAGATGCTGCTGAGTGGAAACTGGGAAGTGGAAATTGGCAACACCTCCCGGGAGATTCTGATAGCATAGTTTGAGAACCACTGTCTTAGAGAGGGGCTGTGCATTGGAGAAATGAAAAACATGAATCGTATTCTTGCTGGTAGCGTGCCACTATGTATGGCATTTTCTGATTAACTCCTTTTAAAAAGGAGCTTAATCTAAACCCAAACAAAATAGGAAAGTTCTGAAGAAAATGTGCTCTTTTTTTTTTCCCTCTCAATAACAAATGATGTGTAGTTGGTAAACCCTAGTTGTAACCTGAAGCTAGTTGGCTAACCAGAATCTATTGAGTAAATGCAG